TGAATTTATTTAATACACAAGTTTCACAATTTGAGTTGAATCACTAATTTATTGAGATGCACCTGTATGCTCTGTTTACTGTGAAAATGGCTTTACTAGATGTGTTGTGCCTGGTTAGGATGGAGTGTTGCTGGGGTGCAATCAAAGGCAATACAACTGACATGCTGGACTGGAGTTCATTGGAAACACTGTTCACTGGGAGCATGCTGGAGCTCTTACACACACACACACACACACACACACACACACACATGCACCATTATTATGATTGTTCTCCCAGAAATGAATATTCTGACATCATTTACTCACCCTCATGACATTCCAAACCTGCATGGAAACAGAAAATGTATTATATTATACTGGATGGTTTCTTCCATGCAGCTGCAGTGAACAGGGACAGAAGCTTTCAAGCATAAAAGGGACAAAAAAACTCACATGAAAGTATCATAAAAGTAGTGCATACAATTTTAAATTCTCTTGAAGCTGTATGATGTATTTTCTTATTCTTATCGGTGAATGAAATTTTATTTTTATTTAGTATTTGTAGTCTGAAAACCATACCATACCACCTATGCAAAAAATATTGAATTAATAATTTTATGCTAAAATAGTATTTATTAGTATTTTAATATTTTCACTTAGGTTTTCATTTTATATTTCCTTCTATTTTTTATTTAAATTGAAGTTCAAGTATTAGCAATTTTGTTGTTTGTTATTTTTATTTTATTTTTTTTGTCTTTTTTGTATTTTTTTATATTTCTATTTAGCTTTTGTTTCAGTTTCGGTTTTAGCAGTTTTAGTGCTAAAATTAGTACTTAAATGTATTTATTTAATTTATTTGCCAAGGCAACATTTCTAATTTTCAAATTTTTGTTTAGGTTTTTACGTTTTCCATCTTATATTTGTAGTTTATTTTATTTCAGATTTATTTTAATTAAAAAACATTTTGAATAGTTTTAAATTTTATTTTGGTTATTCTCAGTGAATCAATGAATGCGAATGATTCATTTTTTTTTTAAATAACTTCTGTTTTTCTGATCTTCAAAGTAATCGTATAAGCTCAGAAGACTATTTTTATGAACTTTTTATGGTCTATTTGCGTCCATTTTGAAGCGTAAAAGTCTTGCAATTGCATACAAAAGAGCCAGTATAAGCTTCAAAGTCATACAGGTTCGAAACAACGCGATGGTGAGTAAATGATGACCGGATTTTCATTTTTGAGTGACTCAAAATCCTGTTTTTCCAGAGCTTGAGAGAAAATGATGTTTGTGCCATACGTCACAGCAGTTCCTGACCCAGTCTCAACAATGTAATTCTGTTTGACCAGATATTTCACCGTTGTCCTCATCTGTGTTCTATAACTTCCAAGTGTCGGTGATTACATGTGTATTTATGTGTGTGTGTGTTCACGTGTGACTGTCATTGTCTCTCGTTACTCCGCGTTCTCTTCCTGTTTAGACATCCAGTTCTTCTTTGCTTTCCAAGCCATTCTTCTTTCAGTCTGAAATTTTCAACAGCCTCTTCCTCTGACACATCTCTTTCGACTCATTTTGATTTGATTGGCTGAGAGCGACTGATGCTTCCTCTGCAGTGTTGCGAGCTTGACTTTCAGGGTGGGCGTTTGTTAGGAAGCAATCATTAGGAGAACCTCTCAGAAATGGAGTGTCAAGCTCTCCCAACTTCCTTTTTGTTTGCTTTTCTTGTCGTCCTATGTAGCAAAAGCGAAAGAACGACAAATCAGCCACCCGATTCAGCAGCTCGGCCAATCTTAGGGCCAATGTGGAGGCTTCCGGGACAGGGAGCGGCCAGCCCCAGCCCAACCGCCTCGAACCCATCCCCAACTCCCCCATTCACCAGCTGGAGCCTAACACGAGCAAACCCCTGCCCCCACCAGCCCCTCTCACCGAACCCAAGAAATTGACGAGGTGAGGCGCACCTCATCACGGCAGATGCCTCGCTCTCTGCACCACGGGCCAGCGGACAAACACACAAGCACACTGAAAACCGATCGCCCACTTTTCTAGAGACAGCTGTTGTATCCCTTTTATGTGCTGAGGAAATGCACACCCAAACTTCTGATGGTTTGCTTTGTGTTTGCATCTCCCAGGTTCCTCTCTGCCTAACAGAGAGTGTGAAATATGGAATTACGGCTCCGATCTCCGAAGAAACAAGTAATTAACTCAAATAATGAGTGCGTCGCCCTGTTCTCAGACTTGGGCCGTGTTACAATTCGCATTTGGACTGGTGCTATTTGAAGGATGTGCTGCGTTTTGGGGGGAAAGTGTAGGAGAATTTAAGTTGCCAAGCCAAAAAGTTGGCAAAAAAATCATTCACATTGATTTTTTATTTTATTTTCATAGTTGGTACGCTTGTTCGGAATGGTATGCTATCATACTAAACACATAATAAAAATATATTTTGTATGCATGATATACTATATATTCCAAAATGTGCGGTATACAAAATTTTTCTAGGCTGGGTTCTGTGTCCCATAATGCAATGGTCTTGGTTTAACCTTTCAATTTCCATGACGATTGAGCATCCCTTTTCTTTCCTTTTTATGGCATTTTACACTAAATGTCATTTTATTTTTTATTTATATACTAATATAGTATTTATTAGGGATGCACCGATAGTATTTTTTCTGGCCGATACGATACCAATTTTAACAAACAACTGTTGGCCGATACCGATAATTGCATAAAGCAGGGCTTAAAAATGAGAAAAAAAAGATTGGTTCACTCCGAGCAGAATCGGTATTTGAACGTTTCTGTTCCTGCGTTCCTCTGTGAAACCGGTTTGAGTAGAAAACATACTGGTTAATAACGTTGTTTTTTAAACTTTTTCTTTGCTAATAATATTAATAATAATAAAGTACAGCGTTTTATTTACTCAAAAAGACAAAAAATCATGAAGAGAGTCTTGATCTCGCTTAGTCATAGCCAATACAGCATCATCTTTTCTAGATTTAGCAAAGACCAAGTGTATTAAACACAGGAAAAAACTGTCAACGCATTAAAAACATTAAAGTATTTTTTTCAAAATATTAAAAAATGTTTCAGCATGGATAAAAAAAAAACTCTGCTCCTAAGCGTTTCGAGAGGGGAAAAAACTGCCTAAATTAATAGGCTGTAGGTTGCATTTTATTATTACATTCAGAAATAATGTAGGCTAAAATACCAGTAAATTAAAGCAAAATTACAAACACGATTAGGCTATTTTAGTTCCCTTCTCTCCACAACAAATCCGCTAAAGTTGTGCTAAATATAAGCGTCAAGCCAAAACGAATTCATTTAAAAACAAAACTGAAGCCTACCTCTCTCATTCTGCAGGAATTCAAATGTTTCCATATTCGCGAAGTATCTGGATGCTAACCTATTATTAAACTATAGGCTTTGTTCTTCACTCGCATTATCGACATAAAACATCATCCTTCACATATAGGCTACGTCAGCAGTGAGGCGCTGGTCACACTGAATGGCACAGACTGTACTACGGACAATTTAAATTGAGCTGTGTAAATTTGTATGTTTCTTTAACTGTATTTTATTTTGATAATGAACAGACTATGATGTCAAATTAGCAAAAATTTGTTGTATGTGCGTGTGAGGCACCGATGCGATCACTGCATTGTTTTCCCAACTGTTATGGGTACGCAAATTTATGGTCATAACAACGCTGGTTGGTCACACAGAAAGAAGCAAAACATCATTCAAAACTGTAAAGCTTTTGCAAAATAAAGAAAACGGCTTTCTGACGTCTCGTTTTTTCCCCCGTGAACTTATTATCTGAAACTCAGCACAATTTTTTTCTTTCGTTTTGTTAATCTGTTAATGATTTACGTGAAATATATTTTGTCTATAGGCCTATATATTCCTTTTTATGTAGCCAATATAGTTTTATTCTGTTTTCTCTGTTTGCAGAAACGCTTCAGGTGCGTGATGTGACCTTGTGTCAATAAGTTTTCTACACTGGTTTCAAACAAAAAGCTGCATATAACCTGCCATTCATTTTCACTTAAATGTAGGCCTAATGCTTGGCGGTTTGTGACTTATCCTCGGATAAACTCTAATACCGGTGCATTGCCATTGCGACTGATGCATTTACAGCTGAGCGTGGGCATTTCACTCGTTGGATACATCAGTGTCATGTTTGCATAGGCTGTACTATGCCGTCTGACAAACTATATTTTGTACAGATTTTATTTTGGCAAGTATTTAATTATTTTGCCCAGAGAAAAACGTTGGATTATGCAACAGACATGCAACTCGTTGTCTCCATGCAGTTAATTAATAAACCATCGGTATCGGCCCTTTTCATGCTATTTCCGATATGCCGATGGCTTTAAAATAACCCAAAATCGACCGATAAATATCGGCGGCCGATACATCGGTTCATCCCTAGTATTTATTCATATTTAGAATTATTTTTTTATTTCAGAATTAGTTTTAGTAATTTTAGTACTTCAACTTATTACAGTTAGTTGCAAAGGTAACATTTCTAATTTTGTTTAATTTCTAATAATTTAATTTCTCATTTCTAATGTAATATTTAATTTTATTTAAGCCTTATTTTAATTTTTTTTTAAATTGGTTTTAGTTTTATTTCATTTGTCAAGAACAACACTGTACCAAATTATGTATTTACATCAAAAAAGTTTTTATTAATTTCTGAGATGCTTTCGGCATACTGCTGGTTTAATTAAACATGCAGTGTAATGCAGTCATGCTAATAATGTAGCATACTACTTTCTGAAACATTCTCACTGCATATTGCATCCTGTTTCATACTGTTTTCAAACAGTAGCAGGCATTATACTGTGTACTTCACAGTATGCAAGAAGCTAGTATTCCATTCCAAACACAGCCAGTGCATCCACATCAGGCAAATAAAAGGGATACTTGAGCTTTTTCCTAACACTGATGTACATGTATGCTTAATGTTACTTTCTGAAGTCCCACACATGAGCTTTGGAAATGGCATTGGAATGCAAATGGGAGCATGTGTCCCCACCGTTGCAGTGCATGCTGGGAGTTGGTGTCTGTCTCGGTGTTGTGTTTTCTGTTTGTGATGGAAGTTATATGACTCATCTGTCACGTAATGTCTTTTATTGTTCTTGAACACCACATTGTATCAGAGAGAATGAATATTTAAATTTAACATTTGAAGAAAAAAAATATTCATTTTCCATAATGTACTGTCTTGCATCTGTGTGAACATGTAAATTACACTGTTTTAGGTTTTATACTCTTTAAATACACTATTTTCACTCTTTTTCAACAATAAACCTTTGCCTATGGCTCTGCTTTTGCAGTCGGCATGTTTTGAGCGGTGGCTGTATCATGCATGTTTTGCTGTCACTGTTGTGGCTGCTCTTGACCCAGGAAGTATCATCTTGTCTGAAGCACCATTACGTGCGTTTCCTTGCACGCTGGTTTGAATGTAAATGAGGTGCAAGTGACGCAGCAAGGTAGACTTGTGTGGAGTTGTCCTCTTTTGTCATGAGACACTCATGTGGCTCTCACACAGTCTGTCTGGTTCAGTTCATGTCAGGGTGAACTTGGTCCACTTAGCAACTGAACTAGAGTCACTTTTTAATATTCAAGTGGGGTCCTTTCTCATATTCAAAAATCTGTTGCCATTTTAAAATAATTATGATTTCACACAGTATTCTTGCACTTGAGCTTTGGGGTCTCAAAATACATTTAAAAGTGCTCTTTGTAATTTGACACTCGAGTTTTGTGGCTTTTAGTCAATATGTGTTTGCTTCGAGGCCATTTATATGCTAATGTACTCCTAAAAGTTGACAGAATTCACTTTTAGAAGATATGCACATTTAAAATGTACAGTCTGGGAAAATGGAGAAAAATATAGATTTTTACACTTCCAGTCAAATGCTCTCTAAAATGAGAATTAGATTATTATTTAAAATATTTGATCAAAAATTGGCTTTTTGATCTACCTAAAGTCCTGTTTTATTAGGAAATATGTCAACGCTAATTTCAGTTTGATTGTTTTTTAAACAGCTAGATGCATCACAATGGTCAAAGACGTTCATCAAGCACATTTACATAAACAAATGATTTTTTTATAAGTGCTACATGTTATTTGACACTTGAGTTTTGTGGCTTTTATTCAATATCCGTTTGCTTTCAGGCCATTTAAATGCTAATGTAATCCTAAAAGTTGACAGAATTCGCTTTTAGTAGATATGCACATTTAAAATTTAAATATTTATTGAATATCTGGTCAGATGCTCTCTAGAATGAGAATTACGTTATTAAACGTACCCAAAGTCCTGCTTAATATAAATGTTAGTGTTTTTTTTTAAACAGTTAGATGCATCATAATGGTCAAAGACATCCATCTAGCACGTTTACATAAACCAATGATTTATAAAAATGCTATTTGTAATTTGACACCTGAGTTTTGTGGCTTTTAGTTGACGTGTTTGCTTTCAGGCCATTTATATGCTAATGTGCTCCTAAATGTTAAAGGGGTGGTTCATTGCGATTTCACTTTTTTAACATTAGTTAGTGTGTAATGTTGCTGTTTGAGCATAAACGATATCTGCAAAGTTACAAAGCTGAAAGTTCAATGCAAACGGAGATATCGTCTTTTAAAATTCTGGCAGTTTAATTCCTACAAAAACGGCTGGTAGGGACTACAACAAGTTACTTCCCGGGTTCGTGACATCACAAACCCAGATAAACCCCGCCCTCGGGAAAAGGCAAGGAAATTGATCAGCGCGTTTCTCAAAGATCAACGCTGAATCTGCCATTCTGTCTGACATACAAACCAGACAAGAGAGTAGATTAACGTCGGTGGACTTGAACTTCAAAAATGGTGTGTTGACATCTTTCTGCAGTTGAAACAAGATACCTTCTGATGTTCATTCATGTTTATTTTGTGGTGTTAATAAACATAAAGTAATATGTTTATTACTAGTTATTTTACTATAACTAGGAAAGAGGAAGAGATGATCGCTTCATGTGCCGCTTGAACTGAGGTGCTATAATGATCTGTCACGACACATTAAAGAGCTGCAAATGGTATTTGTTTAAATTTATTTGAAAATTGACAATTTGAAAGCTGAGACTTTGTTTCATACCAAAATTAATCTGCTCTGTCTTGTCTGTCGGCATGCTGTCAGTGTCTCTTTGCGTCGCGATATATTTTTCAGTGCGTGAGAACATGATATGAGAGTGCCATAGCTTGTCGGACATAGCATCAGTAACTAAGGGGGGCGGGTCTTTGCGAATGGTCAATTCATTGTTACCATATATGACATTAATATACAGTCTGAGAAAATAGAGAAAAAATATTGATTTTTACACATTTTTGTCCGGTCATATGCTCTAAAAAATTATAAAAAACATGGACTGCACAAATTTCCTGTTTTAATGAGTGGTTTTAATTGGGTCTTTAAAAATGTGATGCTCACGGAGTGATCAATAACTGCTAGATGTGTTACAACTGTCAAACACATCTGTCTAGCACTTTTACATAAAACAATGATTGAAAAATAGTGCAAGAATGCTGTGTGAACAACCATCAGAAAGCATAAAAAATTTTGCGTAGATGCTAATTTGTTTTAAGTCAAATGAGCTCTATTTCAGGTGTGCTGATTTGAAGGTGTTTAACTTTCATTATCCCGCGTCTCAGTGCAGGTAGAGGTTGCGTTAGTGCTGAACGGGCTGATGTAAATGCTCGATTGAGCGTTAAATTGAGTTGCTGCAGCTCAGGCATCAGAGACCAAAGCACATTGATTTCATTGGAGATATAAGAGAATAGAGATGAGATTTCCAACCAAGAATAGCAAAGTTTGAATACACAAGAACGGATCGACTGAAGATATCAGTGCTGATCATTGCCTTGTCTGGTGGCTGACTCAACTTTTCAAACTTTCACATTAGTGTAATACATGACAAATTTATCAGTCTATGGTCTGTGCATTAGATGGCACAATAACATAACATCAGATGCATACATTCTCAGTAAAAAAAGGTACAAAAGTTGTCACTATAAGTACCCTTTCAAAAGGTAAACCTTTGTACCTTATTTACCCCTAAAGGGTGCATATTAGTACCTTAAATGCACCTATTAGTAACTTAAGTGTACATATTAGTACTTAAATAGTAGATATTAGTAACTCTAACACTCCAGTAACAGCTTTTGTACCTTTTTTTTCTGGAGAGTGTATTGTACACTTTAATGTCTCAAAACATAAAATCTGATTAACTGGCTTTAAGTGGTTTTCTTTAAGTCAGGGGCTACAGGTTTTGATATTTATGATTCCAATTAAGTTCTTGAATTTGAATCGTGTGAACAGGATACAGAATTGCAATTCAAATTTGAATGTAAGGATATTCAAATGAGCTGAAGTTCAAAAGAAATCCATTTGACTGTGACTTTAAAGATTGAATGTTCTTGTTTGAAAAAATTGAAAATAACAATAAAAAAGACATGAGGTTTATAGATAGATAGATAGATAGATTAGATTGAAGAGCTCCATCCATCTCTTTCCTTCTTTTCTCTATCTCAGACTTCCAGACGTTAAACTCTTCTTGAGAAGCAGGAAGGAGGCATCAGCCAGCCGTCATCATACTGCAAACGTTCTGAGTCAGTGGTAGAAGCCCAGATGTCAGTCAGTCAGTCAGTAAGCATTTCAACCATACAGCTGAGCTACCTGAAAAAAACCGTGCAGCTTATAGAAATTCCATCCTCGGAATAAACAATGACATTTTCTGCAGTAGCGTAGAGGCACGTTTGTGCTCAGTCTTTTAAAGAGCAGAGTTGTGAGGGACAAATAAAAAGTGTTTCTATAAATGTTGACCTGAGGGCTAAATTAATCAGGATTGAAAGCGGGTTCTGCTCCAGAAGACCTTGGAAAGAGCTGGAGGTTGACTACATCACTGACGCACACAGCACATTTCACCTTGAGAGAAACTCAATTCTAGTTTATGAGCTTCCTGAGAAGATTACATTAAAGAAACTCGAATGAAGATTTAACAAAGAATTTGTTATAGGGGTCAAATGATGCTGCTAAAAAGAACATTATTTTGTGTATTTGGTGTTGTAGCATCTGCGTAGGATCATGCATGAAGCGTTGGACTGTTTATGGCTTAAAAGACCCCTTTCAGCCTTTTGACATTTGCATGCAAATTACAGTTCTGGTCAGAAACTTTATGTTCGTATAGGGGTTTATGAATTACCACTCTTTATTTGTATTAGTTAAAGCCATAAAACACTGATA